AGAGAGATAAGAGTCAAAGGTCACTGAGTTTCTAAGTCTTCATGACTCAGTTTACTAGAAATAGGGAAAAGAGCATATTTTGACCTTAAAAGGTATGTTTCTGAGAGGAGTTAGGGCCCCCAGGGCAGGGATGGGAAGAGGGTAGGATAGGAGGGGGCTTAAAAGACCCTGCAGCATAGTTGTGGGAAGTCATGAATGAACCTACTTAAGCTGCTTTCCTACTCCAGAAGCAGAGGGAAGGCAGGCTGCTGGTCCTCCCTGGTGAGGTACTGATGTTTCTTATCATTGAAGGACAGAAGGGGCAGGGACAGCATTAAGGAGGTCTAAAAAAGGTGTGATCAAAGCACTCAGACCCAACATAGATACACCCCAAGTCCCTAAGCCCCAAACACATACAAACTCCAAAATGTCAACATATACCAGACCCGCAAAGACACAGCCATATTGCTAGCCCTGCCCTCAACAGTTTCCCATAAACATACATCCACAACCCTCTTCAACTCACTGCCATGGCCAAGCACACAAACATGCACAGGCAAAACTGAAGGCACACAAGCTCAAACTTGAGAATCATACAGAGCACTGCAGCAGCTGGCTCCAGTGTCAGAGGAAGCTGACATCATCTTCCCAGAATATTTCAATACAGCCTTTGCCTGAGGACCAGGTTTCATCAAATCTCAGGTCTCTAAGTATAGTAAGAGAACTTGGAGTTAACCCCCGGAACTCAGCTGAGTTCCTAGAAGCACAAAATATGCTGCTGGTCACACCTACAATTCAATTCAGAAAACATTTATTAAATACCTACTATGTGCCAGACACTGTACTAAAATTAAAAATTAAATTAAAATTAAAATTTAAAAAAAAGGCTAAAGACAGTCCCTGCCCTCAAGGTGTTTACAATCTAAAGGGGGAGATAACATGCAAACAAATATATAGAAAGCAAGCTATGTACGGGATACATAGGAAATGATTAAGAGAGGGAAGGCATTAAAATTAAGAGGGGTTGGGGAAGGCTTCCTGGAGAAGGTGGCATTTCAGTTGGGATTTAAAGGAAGTCAGGGAGGTCAGTAGTTGGAACAGAGAAGGAAGACATTCTAGGCATGGGGGACAGCCAGAAAAAAATGCCTTTAACCCAGAGATAAAGTGTCTTGTTCATGGAACAGCCAGAAGGCCAGTATAATGGATCAAAGAGTAACAGTTGGGAAGTAAGGTATAAGAAGATTGAAAATGTAGGTGGCGGGGTTGGGTTAGGAAGGGCTTTGAATGCCAAACAGAGAATAAGGCAATATTGGCCAATAATTTGTGTGTAGTTCCCACACTAGGAGTGAAGTCTGGTTCTGTGAGAGATGAGGGCCCAGTTTCCTTTGAGGAGTATTTCCACAATGCTGGTTTGAGATCTCCTAGAGATGCTTTGAAGGGGGAGCTCTGAGTGAGCACACTATCCAGCATCAGAAGGGTGGAAGAGCCACAAGACAAGGAGAACCTAGGTCCAGAGGTCATAGATGGTATAGTGAGCGGGAAAGAGCCTGTCTGATCATCTCAGCCTGCTTTCTCTCCCTGAAACATTTATTATCTATTCATGCCATAATAACTTGACAGTTATTCTATGCCACTCTATGCCATCTTGTACTGTTTACCTATTTGTCATATATTTCCAACTAGATTGTGAACTCTAGAGGTCAGGGACCATCCTTGCCTTATTTCTCTGAACTTCAAAGCCATACTCCCTTCCACTACTAACTCATCCTAGAACTTTCCTCAGAACCTGGGGCTTCTTACTCACCTTGATATATCCTTCCACAAGGCCCACCCCGCCTTCTCCCATTGGTGAATCCCCTAGGAGCCTCCATTTTATGGATGGGCCTGGGTCAGTCTGCCTTCATTCCTACCATCCTGGCCATGTTCCTGGCTTTTTTCTGGACTTCAAAACCATGACCCCATTCTGGATACCTTCATCCCTCCCCATGGCTATAGTCTCTTCAGTCATTAGAATATAAGCTCCTTGAGGGCAGTACCTGCTTTCTTTTTTATTGTATTTGTATCAATGCCTTAATTTGAAAATTCAGTTATATGAAAAGCCTTATAAAAGTCTACAAATTAAATCATACCTAATTATCAGTTTGTCATGGAAAGAGCGCCAGAGTACAAAGACCTAGATTTGGGTCTCTGCCTTGCTACCTACCAACTATGAGGCCTCAGACAAGTTACTTAACTTCTGAATCTTGGTGCTCACACTATATAAATGTTAGCTATTATCATTAAATGTTAGCTATCAGTATTACTATTATATCCCAAAGAGTTGTTATTGCTTTGCTGCAATCAATTAAAGGGAGTTTATTAAGCACCTGCTATGTGTCAGACACTGGGAATACAAAGAAAGAATCCCTACTCCAAAGAAATGGAAATAAGTGTCCTCTTTTGTATTAACATATCCAGGCAAGAGTATTCTTGGACATGACAACAGAAATATGTCAATTCATCCAGCTATCAACTAAAGCTATGCCATCAGCAACATGCTTGCCACATGCAAACACTCCAGGGACATCATATGTGGGCTTATTCAGGAATAATTACAATGTTTCTTCAGCCTGTGATATACCCTCTTTCATGGCTCTCAATCTTTAGTGAATCGAACATAGCTTACTGTGCTTTCTTTTAACTGATTTGGTTCATTCAGTAATTACTTGCTGAAATATTTCTAATTTCCAGGATATTTTGAAAGTTTTCAGGGACAGAAGGACAGAATAGCTTCTATAAGACTAAGTTTCATTATCTATAGAATGGAAGGGTTACCCTTTATGATCTCAAAGGTCTCTCTCCAGCTCTAGCTGAATTTTGAACCTTTTGAAAAGTGTACTCTTCTGGAAAATCTGGGGCATATGGTCACTGCATATACAGTTGCAGGTGTTTGATGTTTTGCTGTTAACAATAGCAATCTTCGGCAGTGGAATTTTCCATAAAAGTTCTATGAGGGGTGTGGAGTCCAATTCACCTGGACAGACTATCTTTCTTTTTGAAACATCTGTGTCATGGCAACACTCTTGGGCCATAATGTTTTTTCCTTACCTCTCACCCCTACTCACAAAAAATCTACACTGGTCATATAATATATGCAGGTAGCATAAGCCCCATGGGGGGGGGGGTCAGTAAATAGCAAAGCCATGCAAATGGCTTCAGGAGATCAAAGGTGAATCCTCCATCTAGAGTAAATCTGTGGATTATCTCCAATTTAGCCCATAGATCCACTGTACATACTAAGTTGTTTGCATGCTGTCTCCCACATTAGACAGTGAGCTTCTTGAGAGAGGGAACTATAGTTTGCCTTACTTTGTATCCCCACCACTTAGCACAGTGCCTGGCACGTCGAAGGTGCTTATTAGATGTTTAGCAACCGATTGATTAAAGTTAATTTTGTTCATTCGCTTTATAAAAGTGACAGGTTTAATTTTCAGTTAGATGCCAGTTAATTAAGTGTGTAGGGAGGGTTGTTAATGTAATGTAATGTCTCAGGTAAATCACTTAACCTCGATGGGCTTCAGTTTCCTCTTTCGTAAAATGGGGAGAATAACTCCAGGTTGTTGTGAGGATCAAATAAGAAACTGTATGTTGAAGTGTCTGGAATCTGAAATCACAGCATGATATGCTCTAAATGTTCTAATAGGCCCAAGACAGCATGTAGGCAAACATTGTCATTTTACAAAGGAGAAAACGGAGGACTAGAGAAAAGTAACTTGCCCATGGTCATGCGAGTTGTAATTAGCCGAGCCAGGATTCAAATGTGGTTTTTTGAACATCCTGATTCCATGACACAGAACCAGTAGGGTTAAGTGCTTCCATAGGCCTCAGTCTGCTCTCTTTTTCTTTCTCCTCGATTTCTCTCTTCCTCCTTTTTTATACCAATTCAACTCAAGTCTATTTCATTCATTCATTCAAAAAATAATTTCTGCAAAGCACCATACGAAGTGCTGAGGTGAAGTACAAAATACATTCAAATCCTGGTTTTACTCTTCCTTGCCTGGATGGTCTTGAGTAGACCACTCCTCTGAACCTTAGTTTCTTATTCTGTAAAATGAAGAGGATTGAAAAAAAAAATCTTTGTGTGTTTATATTCATGATTCTAAAGGACTTGAGGAGGGCATTCTAAACTAGGAGATTGTATTGTACATGTCTTGTGATATAAAATGACATGAGGATAAAGAAAAGTTCATTTGTGTCTCTGTAACAGTAGTACCCTACCATTGTGCTCCTAGCTTGTAACAGTCACTCGATAACTGTTCATTGATTGAGTAGTAAACAAAGGTTTGGAAAGGGTAACATTCAAGGCTGGTCTGAATATAATTGAGGTAGGGAGTTTAAAAAAAAAAAAAAAGAAAAAAAAAGAGAGTTTTTTTCTCTTGAGATCTATCTGTCCTCAGCCCGTCTGGCTGGAGTGAAAGATAGGGGAGATGATGAATAAGTAGGTTGGGACCAGAATGTAGGGAATCTTGTATACCAGGATGAGGAGTTGGTACTTTAGTCTGTAATCAATAACAGCAACTGTGTTTTTTGAGCAGGGCACCGTCCCAGTGGAATTTTGGAACATCAGTCTTGAATTGGTGTTCAGGGTGAAGGATAGCTGGGCACTCCGAAGGATGGGGAGGTTTTGGATAAGTGGACAGAGGAGGATATTCTAGGAAGGGATCCAGGTACATTATCCTTCTCTGTCTCTCCCTTTCTGCCCCCTCTCTGTGTCCCTCTTCCCTTCTGGTTATTCCTGCTTTCTCTCCAGGTTACTTACTCCGGGTTACCCTAGATTCCCTCCCCTCACTCCTTCCCTCTCCAGCCTCAGCTCTGGTTCCCAGCATTGACGTCACTCCAGGATGACATAAGCGCCGGAGGAGGTGGAGGCGGCCGCAGGGGGTGGAGTGCGGGATGCGAGGCGAAGGCTGGCCCTGCCCCACGATGGCCAATGGGCGCCGCCGCCGTCTCCCCCTCCCTCGCCAAGGCTATGAAAGGAAGAGACTGGTTACAAGTCCGGGCAGAGCAGGAGCAGCGGTGGTGTTGACCGTTTGTAAGTCAACTCAGCTGGAGTCCGCAGAGTAGTGGCTGGTCCAGCCTGGCGAACTCTCCCCATCCCGCTGCCGCCAGGACCAGCTTCACAACCCCCACCGCCACTCTCTAAGACAGTGCGCCCCAGATGAGCCAGACCCGCTGGACCGGGAAGAGAGCCGACATGCTCCCGGAGATCGCCGCCGCCGTGGGTTTCCTCTCGAGCCTGTTGAGGACCCGGGGCTGTGTAAGCGAACAGAGGCTGCAAGTTTTCAGCGGGGCCCTTCAAGAGGCACTCACAGGTGGGCATATTCAGAGAGGTTACTAACCCCTAGGGTGGCACTTGGCCATGGGCCCTTACAGTCCCACCCGCCCTAAACTGTACCCCCGATCATCAGGCAGTACCAACATCCCAAGCCATTCCACTCCGGCCAACACTTTCCCGTACCACCGGGGTGCGAATGTTTTCCCTAAGTGCCCAGTTTGTGTAATCCATCCTCAAAGTACTACAGAAATGTGATTTACTAATATTATTGTTCTACAGTGGAGAGATGCGAGTGGTGAGGAATATTAGTATTATCATCTCGCAGGGGGAGGAAGGCAAGGGAGGGTGGAGGTGGACCGCAGTGGCAGCGGGATGCTGACCACGGAGCCTGTGGTGGGTCACAATCCCTTGTCCCTGTCTGAATCCTTTCAATCATCAGAGATACACAGCCACTTTCTTTAATGGTTACACAAAACCTCCTTATAACTCGGGCTTTGGGCAGACTTGAGAGCCAATGAGTTTCAACGGGAGTTTCCGTTCGGTTTCTTTCAGTTTTCCTTGAACCATCTGCCTTCTACCCTGGGTTGTGAAGGTGTCCATCCTTGTTTGGAAGCCCACTCTTCGGGAGGTCCCTGAGTGTGGGGGTGGGAGACACTGGAATTAGTAAAAAGGAATTTGGTCGGGCTACCAGCTGTTGTGAATTGGCTCCTTCGGGACTGTGACTGTTTTCTCAAAACAAGTCTGAAGCCAAGGCCCTGGCGCTTTGATTTCTGAGTCTATTGGCAGAGGATTTTTTTGATTATAAGCCTTGGGAGAATTAGGCGCTGTAGTTTTCCGGTGAGAAGCACTGAGGGCACAGAAGGCAGATGATTTGCTCCATAATCCCATAATGTTATAGCAACTGAGTTGGAATCAAAATTGTTGGCTTCTGGTCTGTGAGTTGACTGCCCCTGGAGCTCCCATAGGCCAAGCCCGGGCACGCTAAAACATCAATCCCACCCTTAAACCCGGGCTAATGTTAGAGGCTGCGACTGCAGACCACTGCCACCAGGGTGAGCTCTGCAAAAAGGTCAAAGTTTCCTCTGATGCAGCCTTTCCTGAGCTTTTTGTCCGGGTGGTTACATCTTCTCGCCCCTCAGGGGCTGAAGATCCTTGAAACTGCTTAGTGATAAAGTATGCTTATAAAGTTGCATGGGCTTCCTTCCTTTTGCCTGCACATTTAATTCATGGCCATCCTAGCTAGGCCCTTAGCATAACCTGTGCCAACCTGACTTGAATTAACCAGGGAATCTTTCCATTTCCCTCCACAGAGCACTACAAACACCACTGGTTCCCAGAAAAACCATCCAAAGGTTCAGGCTACCGCTGCATCCGAATCAACCACAAGATGGACCCCATCATCAGCAAGGTAGCCAGGCAGATTGGACTCAGCCTGCCCCAGCTATACCGCCTGCTGCCCAGCGAGTTGACCCTTTGGGTGGACCCCTATGAAGTGTCCTACCGAATTGGGGAAGATGGATCAATTTGTGTCCTCTATGAGGAAGGGCCCACTCCGTCCTCTTATGGACTCCTCACATGCAAGAACCAAATTATGTTGGGCCGGAGCAGCCCCTCAAAGAACTATGTGATGGCCGTCTCCAGTTAAGACCCCTACTGCTGCCCCCCCCAGTCCCCAGCAATCTACTGTATTCATTCAGCCCTGACAACAGGCTACTGCATACCTCAATTTGGGGAATCCTATTTTTAAATGAAGAGTTATTTATATATATTTTTTTTAAAAAAGAGGGGGAAAAAACCAAAATTTTTTTTTTTAAAGAAAAAAATATCCTTACTTAGTGAGAGCTGCTTGGAAGTGGCCTCCTATGGTGCCTTTGGAAAGAAATTTTGTGAGTCTGCGTGTCTTGAAGCCAGTATCTGCCAATGGGAGAGGTAGCAGTTTAGGTGTATGGACTTGGCAGAATGGAGATGATGGTAGGGTTGGGGAAGGTATAGGGTAGAAGTCTGGTCAGCACCCCAGGGAAAATGAGAAAATCTATGATTAGCAACTGTGAATGAGAAAGATCTGGGTCTACCCTGGGTGGGAGAAGGGTACAGGAGAATTTCAATTTATAGCCTCCTATACCCACAGCCAGGGTTCCAAGAACCTGATCCTCTTTTGCTAAGAGGCATTCAAGCCTAAACTTTTGAAATACTATGTTGCCTGTCTTTCCTTTCTTTTTTTTTCCCTTTTCTTCTCTTTTTCTCCCCCCTCTGATGAGATCATGGGCAGGAAACAAAAGGGCAGCTTCCTTATTCCTCCTGCCTGGATCAACTTTTCTTGAAATTAAGAAATTGTCTTGATAATATCCTCAGGGTCTGGAAGGTTATGACATCTCAGCTGTGATTTCTAAGGATTTGGGGTTTTTATTTTTATTTAGATTTTTTTGGTGATGGAGGGTCTGGCATAGAATAGAAGGGTAAGGAAACCTGCACAAAATCTCCATGTTGCTTTATGCTGCTCTGTGTATGTGTATGTGTATGTGTGTATACTGAATTCTCAAGGGGGTGATTTGTAATGGAAGGCTGGGGCCCAAACAGCTCTCAATGGGGAATGCTCTTTGGATTGGCAGTCTTGTCTGCTGCCCTGCTTAGGGAACCACTAGAAAGTCCTGATGATGCTGCCATTATCCCTTGAAGAGGTGAACTCAAAAGCTACAAGGAACTTCAGGACTTTTATGATGAGTCTTCTTTTGAAAGCACAAATCTCCCCTTTCTCTCCCCTTCCTTGTTCTTGGGCTGTCATTAGAGCGCATCCCCCCCCCCTTTTTAGGACAAAAGTTCTCAAGCCTTGTGCAATATGGCCTCCTGCAACCCAGAGTGGCCTGGTGGGGGAATGATTTTCCAGCCCTCTTGCTGTCATCCATGAAGAATCACGTTCCCCGAGGCCCTCTGAGCTCCGGCTGGCTAGTTTGTTTTAAGGGCACCTCTTGCCTAAGCCCCAGTTTCTACAGGCCTTGGCATTGTTCTTGAGCTGCCTCTAAAAACAAACCTTTGGGCATTTACTTCTCCTTGGCACTGAGTGCCTGGTGGTGGAAGAGGAGTGTCTTTCTCTAAATGTGACTCCAATCCGTTAGTAGAATTGTGCAATATTTACTGTTCTTGGTTGGGGAGAAATAGAAAACTGCTGCACTAGAAAAGAAAATCCCTTCCCCCTCCTTCCCACTCTACTCATGGGAGTAAGGGGGAGGGTTGAGAAGGCTTCAGGTATCCCTGATCAGAACACCCAGGGATGGACACAGCTGGAGCATCTGGTCAGCTTGGTTAAGCTCCTGTTGCTAGGGCTTAGTAAAGAATCCCTCCCCCTCCCTCCCAATCCCCTTCTGTGAAAGTCTCTCCCCAGCTTTCTTTTTCCCTTTGGATTTCCCAAGCTGCTGTATTCCCTGATTCATAAGGTGCTAATAACCAAACACTCTCTACTCTTTCATTCTAGTCCTGCCCCCTTTGTGACTGCACCAAATTTTGTGCCAGCTCCTAGACCCTGGTTCGAGTATTAAGTTTAATTGAAGGTTAATTCTTCATCCACAGAGCAGGGAATTGATTCCTTGACCTGTGGGATGGGTAAAAACAACAAACAGCTGTGAATCACTGTGGAATATGTCCTTACCTCTGACTGCACACAGGACCCTGCCATTTGTGGTCTCTCAAATATTTTCTCTCTTTTCTTCCTTAATATGTACTTTTAAAAGACAAGATCTCAGAGCTGGACTGTTGAGCAGGACTGGCTCTCATATTAAGTAAAACATGGTAGTGAATTTGTAAGCTATTCTGACAGAGGGGACAAAGGTTACTAATTGTATATTGTATGGTGTTTTTATATGAAAGAATGTACAGCTCTATTGGTAAATGTATACTTTTTTTGTTACTTTAATAAAAATGTAGCTGTTCTAGCCGTGTGGTGTAGACAAACTTAAGTGCCCAGCCTTCCTTTCTTTTTTTAAGTGCCCAGTCCCTACCCTTTTACCTCAGGCTTCAGATTCCTTCCTGGAGGTGCTTATTATGAATTACACCCAAAAGAAATGAGAAGGAACGGGATACCTCATAAGAAATTGGGTTGGGATTTAAGCTAATCTTCAGATTTTTATTCAGTCTCCCTTCCTGGGATCAATACTCTGCCCCACCTCAAACACCTACTTCCTACCTTCTCTCTGAGTAAGTGATTTAACCTCTCCATGCCTCAGTTTCCTCATTTGTAAAATAGGAATAATAATGGCATCCAGAGTAGCTTTTTTTTAGGCTCAAACAAGAGACTTGCAGACCATAAAACATCACCCAGGTGTGAGCTGATACAATGATTTTTATCATAAGCTATAATAGCTAACATTTATCAAATGTGATGCACTTAGAGTCTTATATTTTTCCAATTTGCTCTTCACTGAAATATACTAGTGTCATTATCCTCCATCTTTGAGATGAGGAATATAAGGCCAGTGACTTGCCCAAGATTATTACAAAGTAAACTGTAAAGCTGGGATTGGAACTTGCTCTTCTGTCTTCCAAGTCCAGTGCCCTTCCCAAATGAGAATATTTGTAAAGCACTTAGCCCAGAGCTGGCATAGAGTGGAAGCCTGTTCCCTACCAACCCTACTCTGTTGTATGCAACTTGGGATATTGCTGTTCTAAAACAAAAGTTCATAGTATATAGGGTTACTTAAGAGATTTCCCCCATTTTAAGTACCCTTTTCTGATGGCTCTCATGACACAGACTTTCCTGGAAAGTAGATGGCCAGCAGAGAGCCTGGGTTCTCCATATCCTTGGTCTATGCTCTCCTAGGTCCAGTCATCCCCCTTCTGTTCCCTTGACATCCTGGTTCTGTTAAGCACTATATTTTTGGAGACGGAGAATGGGTAGCAGATTAGGATAGTTTCTGTGCATGGAAGACTGAACACTGAAGACTATCTTCTTGTCCCTGAACATCTTATTTTAATAAGTTTTGAGAGCCAGGTCTCTGACCTGTGTTTGGGTGGCCTCCAAGTATGTTTAGACTTACCCCAGCCAAGCTCCTGGTAAGAGTATGGGGAGAGAAAGATGCCCAGGCAGGCAAGTGTGACATGGGCTTATATTAGGACTCAACAGTCCCATTAAGAGATTGGTCTGTGCTAGGGATTAAACCATCCAAGAAGCTGCAAGCATATCCAGGGCCTACTAACTGGACTAGGCCATTGGGTCTACAGAGACAGTTTCTGTTCTCAGGAAGCTAATATTCTACTAAGGGGAGATGAGGAAAGTTTTTAAATAACTAAGCTTACCAGTTGGAGTTCAACAGTTTATTCTGTGAAGGGAAGATGAAGGAAGGTATTAACTGTGAATTTTATCCATGGTTTGTTTATAAATTCATAGAATGTTACAGGTACTAATAAGTAACTCCCTTCCATTGTATAGCTAGAACTAGGTGACTGTAGGGACTGCAAGGAAAGAACTGGCCTCTATATCCATGGAGATCCATTTGTTAATGGAAAGTTTTCCTATTTCATGGATCCATACTTTAAAAAATAAAACAAGACCCAGCTGTTTACTTGGGAAGACCTCATTATTTAAAGGCCTGGTCCCATTTTCATTTTGAACTTTCAGTCCCTGAAACCCTTGAGTAATTGTTTTCTGAACAATGGGTTACAGCTTTACTTGCACTTAGTCTCTCCTTTGAGTCTTGTAAGAAAACTCCACTATGGAGGCAGGGAAAGTATTATTACCTTCCTTTTATGGATTGGGAAACTGAGCCTCAGGGAAGTAAAGTCATTTTTTTGGACCTCACACAACCAGGAAATAGCAGAGGCAATACTTGAACTCAGGTCTTCCTTCTATTCCTAGTCTACTAGTGTACGGTCACATAACTCAAGTTAGGAATAACAAACTCACCAACTTTACCTTTTTCTAGATGTGGAGATGGGTTAGGATTGGGAAATTTTTGTCTGTCCTACTATTGGTTATTCTCTTTAAATCTGTAGGGCAGGGGCAGTGTCCATCTGCTGGGTGATGAGCCTTATTTTTCAAGATGGACATTTCCTTACTTCAAAAACTTGGATAGATCTCATTGGTGTATTAAGAGGCAGCATAGTGAGAAGGAAAAATGTGGATTCAGGATTGGAGGAGGGCCTTGACTGGAGTCATGCTTATGCCATTTATTACCTGTGGACTTTGGGCTACTCACTTTCCTTCTCTAGGCCTGTCTTCTTATCTTTAAATGAAAAAAAAAATCATACTAGATCCTAGACTAAGACCCCTTCTATATATAAATTCTAAGGATTGTTGATCTAGGACCCACAAGTCATAACTTCCAGAGGCAAGATCAGAACCCAGGTCCTCTGACTTCCTGAGCCAGTGATCACTTCATTGTACCACACTGCCTTACACACTTATTGTCTTATTTGATTCTTATGCATATCTTCCTGTGAAGTCTTCATAGAAGACCCACCCAATGTTCCAGAGCCTTTTTCTGGTTATTTTCATACTTTGTGAACTCAAAGCAGGATTCAGACTATCCATATTTTCTCTCTCCTCTAATTAAATTACTTGTCCACCACTTTGTTTTAATATCTAAAATGTTTTTTTCCTTTTAAACTTAATTTTGCTTTTTCAATGAATAAAAATGTGTGCCCCCATTTGCCCTCAATGGAAAAAAAAACACTTGTAACAAATATTTATAGTCAGGTAAAACAAAAAAAATTTGTCTTAATCTATACCCTGAGTCCATCACACATTCAGTCAGTAGTTGGGTAGCATCTTTCATCATTAGTTCTCTGGAATTGTGGTTGATTATTGCATTGATCAGAGTTCTCACATGTTTCAAAGTTGTTTGTCTTTATAATGTTGTTGTTATTATACACATTTTTCTCCTGGTTATGCTCACTTCACTCTATTAGCTCATACAAATCTTCCTAGGTTTTTCTCATGGAACAATAATATTCTAGTATGTTCATATGCCACAATTCAGCCATTCCCCCAATTAACGGGTATGCCCTTAGTTTCCAGGTTTTTGCTGCCACAAAAGCAGGTGCTATAATGATCTTTGTACATGTGGGTCCTTTTTCTCTTTCCTTGATCTTTTTGGGGTTGTAGCATTAGTAGTAGTAGTATGTCAGGGTCTGAGAAGTGTAGTAAATTTTCAGACACGGTTCCAAATTGTTTTACAGAATGGCTGTATCAATTCATAGATCTACCTGTTTTCCCACAGCCTCTCCAGCATTTGTCATTTTCCATTTTTTTGCCAACTTTTCCAATCTATTCTGTGTGAAATGGAAGTTCAGAGTTGCTTTAATTTGCATTTATCTAATTATTAGTGATTTGGAGCATTTTTTTTTTAATATGGCTACGAAGAGCTTGGATTTCTTTCTTAGAAACTGCCTATTCTTATCCTTTCACCATTTATCAATTTTTGAATGACTTTTAATTCTTATCTACTAAATTTAAATCAGTTCCTTATTTATCTGGGAAATGAGACTCTTATCAGAGAAAATTGCTTGAGAGATTCCCCCCCCCCATTTCACTCTCTGGTTTCCCTTTTAATTTTTGATATATTGGTTCAGTTTGGCAAAAACCTTTTTAATTTTATGTCATCAAAATTGTCCATTTTATCTTCTGTGATTTACTTTATCTCTTTTGGGTCATGAACTTTTCTCATATCCATAGATCTGAAAGGTAATTTCTCCTATGCTACTCTAATTTGTTTATAATGTCACCATTTGTGTCTAAATCATGCATGCATCCATTTGGAGCTTATCTTTGTATAAGAGGAGTTAGCTTGTCCCTAGTTTCTGCCAGACTACTTTCCAGTTTTCACATTATTTCCATCTAATAATGAGTTCTTACCCTGGTATCCAAGGTTTTTGCGTTTATCAAACAACAGGCTACTGTACTGTTGTTTTAACTAATCTGTCTCACTTACCTGTCTATTTCTTAACCAGTATAAAATACTTTTGATGAGTTTTGCTTTGTAGTAATTTGAGATCTTTCTTCTCACTTTTTTTCACTATTTCCCTAAAGATTCTTGACCTTTTATTCTTTCAGCTGAATTTTATTCTTGTTTTTTTTTCCCCTAGCTCTATACAGTAATTCTTTGGTAGTTTAATGGGTATGGTACTGAATTAGTAAAGTAGCTGAGATAGAATTGTTATTTTTATAATATTGGCTCAGTCTATTCATGAAAAATTAATATTTCTGCAATTTGTTAGGTATGTATTTCTGAAAAGAGTATTTTGTACTTGTATTCATAATTTCCATGTATGTGTGTCTTGTTAGGTAGACTCCCTATTTTACCCATTCTGTAGTTATTTTAAATGGAATTTCTCTATCTCTTCCTGCTGAGTTTTATTGATAATATGTAAGCATACCAATGATGTATATTTTATTTTCTATTCTGCAACTTTGCTGAAGTTATTCATTACTTCAACTATTTTTTAGTTGACTCTCTAGGATCCTCTAAGCAAAATATTACATTTTCTGCAAAAAGTGATAAATTTGTTTCCTCTTTACTTATTCTTATTCCCTCAATTTCTATTTCTTGTCTCATTGCTATAGCTCACATTTCTAGAACTCTATCAAATAGTAGTGGCAAAGACATCCTTGCTTTACCCCGATCTTATTTTAAAAGCATGTAATTTATCCCCATTACTCTCCTCTCCTCTTCCAGCTATATATGTTTCTTACACTATTTTTAGCACACATCTTTGTAATATTCTGAAGCATTTTTACAACGTATGGGTCTTTCCAGTGCCCTTTGTATCACCTGAAGTGTTGACTCTTTTGAGATCATAGTATTTAGTGATTTATAATCATATATTCCAATAATTAGATTATTCCAGTACTTAAATCAATCTGTGATTTCACTAATGTGGGAATTCCCTCCAGTGATGCAGATTTCAACTCATTCATTCTTGCCTATTCTACATACAACTTTCTCTCATAAGTTTATCACAA